CTTTAGAGCTTTTGGGACACCCTGTACATTACGAAAATATTTTTAAAATGTGCGCTCGGTAGGCGTCGGACAATTCATAAAATAATACTTTTTAAGTATGTTGTTTGCAAAGCGGACATTCAAATATTCGAGGGGCACGATGGGTTGAAAGTAAATCTCGATTATTTCACTTGATTAAAGGAAGATTATCAAGGATATCAACAAAAAAAAATGATGAGGAAACAAAGTTTCTGATTGCAGCCGGGTAAAGTTGGCTTTTGTTGCCAAGATCGTGAAACATTTTCAAAGTAAATTGCCCCAAAAGCAGGACGAAAATGAACTCAACGTGATTAAACTCTGACTCAAATCCCGCGCTTTCGCCATATTCAAATCACGCACGTTCCGACCCACTTACCATATGGTAAAAGCCGATAATATTACAAGCATGCATAATCGCGCGTCGAGCGTGGTAATATAATCCTTAACGACCTACCTTACCGAACCATTGACCCAAAGGTTCAATGGGAAGCAAAAGCCGCCCTTAATAAAATAAACCTATGGGTTCCAGGTGTGCAGTACGGGGACGAGCAGCAGCAATGTGCCACCCCTTACAGTCCCGCCTCCCATCACGAGGGGGCGGAGCGATCGCCTGCGGCGTCGCGATCCGCCACTCCGCTCGAATTTACCACCTATCCGACCACCGATGTTGACCAGGACAATTACCAAACACTTAACCTGATCCGGGGGGAAAATGAGGCAATGTTTCGCTTCGATGAGGTAGGTGATTCTTCAGAGCTGAAGCTAGATGACGCTGCATGCCTATGAAGAACTGAGCACTCCGAATGTTTCTTCTTCAGATGCCCCTAGAAGGAGATCCGCCAGGGACGCTGTTGCAGCTGGGGGCGCCCCAGGGGCCCTCGAATGGGGCTTCGCCCCATGACAGCGAGTCCCCAAGCCCAGGGTCGCCCCACAGGGGCCTGGCGTTTGCTAGTTTAAGCATGCAGCCTGACACTCACACGATATTGGAACCTGCAGGGGCGCAGCTCACTCAGCTCACCAGCCACATCAGCTACACGGGGGGATTGGAATCCAACGGCGCCGCTGGCACGTAAGTGAACTTGCTTTTTTTCTGAATTTCCTCAGGTAGAGAGCTGAGTAATCCAAAACTGACATAAAATGCGAAAAAATCGACCAATTTGCAAAATTACGACTAATATAAGCCGTACTGGGAAGCTGTGGGGGTGTTGTCAACGGCCACGGCTGGTTGCCTAGAAGCTGCGCTAGAGAACGCGGCGCCCTCTTTTGAGCGCGCTTGAAACTGCGGGTTCTCCTCGAGCAAGAAGCGCTGTTTGGGAGGCAACAAGGAGTGAAAAACGCATTAGTAGTTCTACTCAGTAGTCAGTGGAGCAATTAGCGATCGCATGCTCGGCTGAACAGCATAATGCGACATTTGAAACGAAACGCGCCTTTCCGCCTGCATTAATAACGCATAAATGCGGGTACGGGCTTATCAGCCCGAATGGGGTAATGGTCTCGTTGTTTTGCTTTGAACTTTGCTGATAAGGCGCGACACTATTTACCTTCGTTATGGCAAAAGCATCAGCGGCTTTATTATTGCCCATAAGCGAATCCCCATTTATTTCCCATGGCCGGCGGCGCGGTGTTGTCGATGTGGGATAGTTGGCGGATCGGCCCGTAGGCGGGCGGCCTCCTCTCAACTCGCCACCGGAGATGATTGAGAGAAAAAGTGCCGATTGGCCAGAAAACCTACACCGGCTTGGTCAGCAATTTGTCGGCCGTTTCCTCTTAAGCTTAATTGATCCGCCGCTTTGATCGTGCGTTTTGCAATGGGAACCAAACGGGATTCAGATGCCATTGAGTCAGAGTTGGACTCTGATTAAACTGGAAAATCTGGGCCCAAAATGCAGTTTCTTGAAAACAATATGCTCCATCCATAGAAAATTCCTGAAGCAACAACTTTTCCTAATGGTGTTTTTTAGGCCTGGCTAACACTGTGATGAGCTGCGCTATTGAGTCGTTGCTGCTCTCTGAGTTGTTGATGAGTTGAGTTATAATTAAGTTAAAGCTTTACGAGAAGCGAGACTGGAATTTTCACTCCTAAAAGCGGGCTATTAACATTTTTTCTGAGTAACGTTTTACTACTTGGTTCAAACAACTAAGAAAAGTAATCTAGATTTTCCCAGCAACAGAACTGACTCCAAAGAAAGTCGACGAGTTTTCTTGTTAAATCGATCACTTAATTTTTTGCATAAAAGATTCAGTCTGCCAGTATTTTTCAGTAAAACATTAAGAAAAACGCGTTTTTTATGTTTAGAGTGTTGTTTAGACTCCCGTTTCCAAGAGTTTAGGCCTGGGTAACACTGTGTTGAGTTGCGCTATTGAGTTGTTGCCGGTCTCTGAATTAACTAGTTATAACTCATCGCTTCATGAGTTATAAGTGATTTATTAAAGCTTTACGAGACCCGAGACTGGAACTCTCACATCTAAAAAAGGATTA